TAATAAATAATATACATATATATATATATATATATATATATATATATATATATTATGAATGTACAGATTTATATTTTACTAATAATATATATTAATAATTTATATTAATTTCAATAACATGTTAACATATTTTTTTAATAATTTTATTTCTTTAATATACACTTCAGTATATTTTAATCACATGTTCAAATTATATAGATAAATATGTATATATTTTCATTTATTAATATATTACCTTTATTCTTATTTCATTTTCTAAACATAAAATGTAATACACTGAAAAACGCAATTTAGTTATATTAAAATATTTTTAATATTTTATATTTTATTTAAAAAAAATAGAAAGTTACCTGTTCATCTAAAAAATTCATGAGAGTATTCATTTTGCATTTGAAACCTTCTGTTTTCAACATAGAATATAAAGTATTAATACATATTGGTTCATACATTAAAATTTTATTATGTAATTCTGTTCTAACAGAAAGAATTTTTAAAAACATATCTTTAATATTTGTATTATCAATTATTGAAGTGAATTCAGATTCATCTAATTGTTTTTCTTTATTAATTATATTTAGTGATAATTGTTTATTTGTACTGTTAATATTATAAAACTTATATTAATTTATGAAAATATTTTAAAATTTGAATAATAAACTCAATACTACTACTAATATGTAACATACTATTTCTGGGATAGCCCTAATTGATATTCATAATTATCAATGCAATCAATATCTTTTCTATTATATATTTTTTTCATTGGAGGTTCATCATCTTCACTAGTACTTATTACCACTTTAGATTCTACACTCTTTGATGTATAAATTGTTGGATGTAATTCATCATAAATATATGTTAATAATTTTATAGCTCTTTTTCGTTTCTGTATTTTTAATCCATATTTATCTAATTCTAGCTAAAATAAAATTAATAATAAAGTATTAAAAATATAATTTATACTAAAATAATTCTTAACTTACTTGAAGCTCACTTGTTCTCATATCATTATAATTAGGAGGAGGTGTAACATTATCTCTAATAATTTCATGTGCAGTTGTTTCTCTTTTATGATTACAAACTTGAAAATTATTATAAGATCTAGTTATATTATTCTTAATATCTTTTGTATTAATATATAAACTTGTTCTGATCTTGATTTCTTTTGAAATTTTTTATTACATTTTTTTGTAGTTAATGATTTTTCTCTGTTTTGGAATTGTTCTGGAAAAGAGTTAATAGAAAAAAGTTAAGAGTTATAATTATTTTATTATTTTAATTCATTGTTGCAATAAATATTATTTTTTACCTAACTGATTTATTTCTTTAGCGAATAACGAAGTAGTGATATTATCATCACTATTATCAATATAAACATTTGCTAAATAACATCATTTTCAAAAACTTGGCTATTGTCTTTAGAATTTTCAATATATGGAATATTTTTATTTTTTTGGTTTTTTCATATCTATACATATTTAAATCTTCATCATCTAATTCAGAACTAGAAGATATTAATATAGAGGATTCAATTGAATTATATTTATTTATATTTGATTCTACTGATGAATTTCTTTCAATTGCTTGTACATTATTTTCTTGATTTAATTTGAATTCTGAATTTTTATTAATGTTTGATAATGAAATATCATTATCTATATTATTCTTTTCTTCATATTTATCACATATTACATTGTTTTTTATATTATTTTTTAATATAGATTCCTTTACAAAATTCCGATATTTTACTATACTATTATTTTCATGTTTTTCTTTGTATTTTGAGTACATAGATATTTCATTTTCACTTGTATCAAAATCTAAAAAAGTATTATTTTCATTTTCTAAATTTTCTAAACTTTTCATATTTTCTTGATGAATCTTTAATGAATCTTTAGGTATGGAATATATTTTTTCATTTTCAAAATTACATATATTACTTATATTTTCATACAATGAATTATTTTTATATTTTTCTATATTAGATTCTGATGAATTTATCACTAATGAATTATCTATCAATTCATGATTAAAAGACATATTTGTATCATTTTTTTCATGTATTTTTATATCTACTTTTGAATTTTTATCATCTGATATATCAATCAAAATATCTTTTTTTGTTTTATATTTTTTTTCTGTAATGTTTTTTTGAGATATACAATATTCAGAAGAATCATTCTGTCTTAAATTAAATGGATTTCTACATATTTTGTAATTTGTTGATAATATTGAATCTTCAGAATTTACATCAAGATCTGATTTTGCATTTTCTCTTTGAACTTGTTCAATAAATATACTAAGGTTACTTTTTAATTTTTGTATATTACAATTCTTATTATTTGGAGTATTAAAACATTGAATATTTGGCAATAAGTTTATATTTTCTTTAATATTTTTAAATATTCCAATATTTTCAGATGTAGAAGAATTAATGCTTGTTTTTTTATTTTTTCTTTTTTTAGTTTGTGTTGTATCATCAAATAAATCAGGAGACATATTAGAATTTTGAATTGCATTTGTATCATTTAAACAATTATCTATTTTTTGCGATAATTCATCTGTACACTTATCATTTTTTAATTCAATTTTTGATTTATCTATAATATTTTTTTCTAAATCTTCTTTATTTAATTTTTTACCATCATTAAATTTGTGATCTTTAATTTCATTGATTAAATTTAATATTTCATCATTAGTTAATTCTAAATTATCTTTTTTCTTAGAAATACATTCTTGCTCGCGTTTACTGTCCATTTGACTTTTTATTTTAATTTGTTTCTTTTCTAAAAAAACAAATAATTCTTTTACTTTATACTTTCTTGCTAAATCTCTTAAAAATGGATAGTTCTTTAAATCATCTAAAATATTTGAATACTTTTTTATAATACCACAATAAATGAATTCCAAAAATGCTAAAGCAATATTATAAGATACATCTGTCCAAGAAATTTTTTCCTTAATGTTAGTAAATAATAAAGTATCATTAGATGTAATATCAAGAAGCATATTTGAACATTGAATATGTAAAACTAATTTATGTGCCCAAATATGTTTATCATTTTTAACAAATATTATTATATCACTTGCAGAACTATCATTTAATGAATCACTCCAATTTGTTATTATTGTATTAATAAATTGCATATTTTGACAATTTTCGCATTTTTCATTTACATAATGTATTTTTTTACGTGATATTTCATATATTTTTTCATTATTACAAAATTCTATAGGGTTTTGACTTGATTCCACATGATATATATCGCACATATTTGCAAAATCTAAAATCATTTCTTCTTCCTACATAGTATACAATATAAATATAATTTCTAAAAATTTAATATTAGTAAATTTAATATTTATTTTACTTACTCTTTGTTTTTCTTCTAAAGTTATATATTGTGATAAATTTAATACATAAAAATTGTTTTGATTTAGAGGCAATTTTGCTTTATTCCATAATTTTTCTTCCTTAAAATTAAACAATAAGAAACAAATAAATACTTACATTGTAAAAATATAATTGTGTAATCATATACCTTATTAAGAAGTTCTTGAAGTAAATGACTTTTTAGATCAGTTTTTTTTTCAATTATATAATTGCATTTAAATTCTTCTTTCTGATTTTGAGTAATGGGTTCATCTCCCATTAAAATTTCAGAAATTCTTTCAGTTAAAATATGATTTCTTTCTTTTTCAGAACGTGTTTGAAGTAAAGTTATTTCATTATTCTTCCTATTAAAAAATTTTAGTAAAAAAGTTAAAATTTAATTTTTAGTTAAGAGAAAAAAATATATTTTGATTTAATATACTTTTTTTATTTTTTATTAATGATGAAGGTTTGCTGTTTATAAATCCAAATTTTTCCAACTGACTTTCAGATTTATTTGCTTCTAATATAAATTGATTTAATACTTTAGGTAATTTTTCAATTTCATTTATTTTATCAAGTTCTTCCGCTTCTTGAAGAGATTTTGATAATGCTAAGGCAAGTTGAAAATCAGTTTCTTCGTATGAAGTCTAAGAATTTAAAAATATTTATAATATAAAATATAAATAAAAATTATCTATATATCTCTATAATTTCTTTAAATAATTATAATATTTAATATAAAAAATACATACTCTATATGATATTGATTTTTTTTTATCTTGCACTATAGGTGCAACAAGCAAACCTAGTGATTTTCTTTCATCTTCTTGACGTTTTTGAAGATCTATAGCATCTAATAACTTCTTGGTAGAAATATTATTTTTATATGCACAAATCTTCATATGTAATGCACGAGAATTAAGATCTTTAAACGTTTTAAAACATAAAGGACATACTAGAGCCACTTTTACATCACTATTAGAATTTTTATCATCACAATTATTTTCAAATTTAAAAAATGATGATTCTATAAAAGATTGTGATTCTTGCGAATGTCTTTTCTTTTCTTGTTCTTTTTTTTTTTTTGTCTCCATGAGTTTTAATAAAATTTTTAAATTTTATACTTGTCTTTTTCTTTTGATGTCCATTAAAATGATTAAATTCAGTTAATTTTGTTTTAGAAAATTGTTTTGGACTTTTAAAATCTAATATACTATCATTTTCAGTTATAATAGATGTATCATATAAAGTTTTGTTTTCTTCATTCATTTTATATTTTTAAAAAATATATATTTTTATCTTCTTAGATATACTGTAATAAATATATGAAATAAATATAAAATTTTATTTTTATATTATTTAATATTATATTTATAATATTTTTTATATTAAATATTAAAAAATTAAAAAATATTATAATACAATAATATTACTAAATAATATTTCAATATATTTTGCATAATTATTTATTTTATATATACTAATTACAACATTGTTAATTAGATACAAATATTAATTATAATATTATTAATTAAAGTGTTTCATATTTATATTGATAAATATAAGCAATGCACTTTTCTACATTATTTTTAACCAATTATTTGCTATATAATATTTTATAAACTATAGCTAGATTTAATTTAATTCATTTTAATGTATAAATTAATTAACTATTGGTTTCAGATACTTTTAAAGATAAAGATGACGATTTATTAGTCTCAATAATTTTTTTTGAATCTTTTTCTAATACATATTTAACAACATTGTTGAATATGGGTTGATTCCAAAAATGTTTTGTATTTTCATATTCATCAAATAAAGTTTGTTCTTTAGGTTTATTAAGTTCATCAAGTTCAATAATAAATTTTTGTTTCTTCTCAATAAAGTCACTGCAATATAATATATTTATATTACAAATATATTTTTTATATTCAATATTCAATGTTAAATATATTATTACATATTTACAAATTATAATATATTCTGCATCATTAAAGTTTGTTGATTTAATACTGTTTTAGTAAATATATAATATATAAGCTTAAATTAAGTAATATATATATAATAAGGTTAAATTGTAATTGTTCTCTAAATTATAATTGAACATATACATTATTTCATATAATTTAATTTTTACATGTAATATTTTAAATTTATAAAAAAATTTAATATATAAATTTAAATATTTAATATGCAAAATCTATATATTTACCTTAACAATAAAAGACCTGCAAGAGGAACAAGAATTTTCGTTAAACTTGTAATTATAAATGCTGTACCAGCCGGAGTTCCAGCAAGAGTTCGAAATTGTTTTTTTTTTAGAACTACCGGTTCAAACATTATTCAAATATTATTATATTAAAGTATGATAACGTATAAAATATTTTTTTGTAACTATATCTTTGTAATAATTTTATATTATACAGTGTTGCCAATAATAAAATATGAATGTAATTTAATATATATGTATAAATGTAAAAATATTTAAATAAAATAAAAATATTTATTTAGTTATTATAATTAAATTATATTAATCTTTAAATTATATTAATTATTAAAATATTTTAATTTCTTTTAATTTTTTAAACTATTTGTTACTTAAAGCAATTCAATGATATCATCAAATATAAATCATTGCTTATATTATTTTAATATTTAGTAACATAATGTATATATATAATTTTCATCATATTTATATTTCTTTTACTAATAATATTTTCTGATTAGTAATACATCTTTATGACGTATTTATATCGAAAATTTGGAAAATTTTAACGATAAATTTATTATTATCAAAATCAAATTTGCAATAAAATGTTTTTATAGTGATTTAATCTCTTGCTATACTACTTAAATATATCATTGAGTAATGATATTATTTCTCGATACATACCACATATATATAATATATATGTACTTTTTATATATAATCTGATGATATAATATATATATATCATATATAATATATATATAATATATATATCATATATAATAAAATATATATTATATATCATATATAATATAATATATATATATCCTATATAATATATATATAGGAAATTAATGCGATTTGATATTATACATCTCAAATAAAAACGCAAATATTATTCAATGAAACTGCATTTAAAAGATATAACAAAAAAATCACCTTGTATATTATATAAACGTATTGTATATTTTTAAATATATAAATAAATTATACTTTCTATTGTTTTTTTTACAAAATAAATCTTTGAATAGTCGAATTTCCTTGGTTTAATAATTTATTATTAAATTGACATAAATAAGTAATTATTTTATAAGAATAGTATTTCTTTTAATGAATTAAGTGATTGGAAGCAAATAATTAAATTATATGACAAATTATCAATTATTAATTGTTGATGAAATATCAATATCAGAATTTATCATTTATTAATTTTATCTTTTGATTATATTTAGATTACTGTCATTAACTGGGATAATCATTAATATTGATTATTGAGAGTTTATAGTTTAAAAAGAATTCCTAAACAGTAATAGGAATCAATTTGTATCATTATAACGCTTCAGTACTCACCGATGTTAACTTTTGTTATATTAATTGAATTTTCATGAAAATATAATTTAAATTCTTTTAATATTTAATAATATTTAAATATTTTATTTATATTTATACTAATGATAAATATTGTAAACAAATATAAAAAAAATTAACTTTTGTGAATCAAGATTAGTTCTCTTAAGATTCAATCACGTGGCTCTGTTTATATCCGGTAATTTAATCGAATGTAATATAAATATTAATTATAAAAAATTGTTATTTAGTTAAAATGTTTTTCAATATATATAATGAAAATATGAAAGTAAAAAAATTTTAAAATAATTAATAGTTATATAAGAATCAAGAAAATTTTATAAAATATAAAAATATTACTCAATTTTATTTTTTATTCTTTGATTAATTTTTTTAATATGGTATGTATTACATTTTTATCATTTATTTTAATAATTTTTATATTTTTAAAAATCCTAAAAAATTATTAATTATATATAAGGCTTCTACTTCTAAAAGACAAACTGCAATTGGAACTAGAAAAAAAGGTGTACCGAAATTGGAATTGACTGCTGAACAAAAAAATGATATAAAAGAAGCATTTGATTTATTTGATCCAGATGGCACTGGAAGGATAGCTACCAAAGAACTTAAAGTGGCTATTAGAGCTCTTGGAATTGAACCAAAGAAAGAAGAAATAAAAAAACTTATAGCTGATGTTGATCCAGATGGTCTTGGTACATTATCATTTGAAGAATTTCTAAACTTAATGTCTACAAAAATGTTAGAAAAAGATACAAAAGAAGAAGTTTTAAAAGCATTTCGTCTTTTTGATGACGATAACACAGGAAAAATATCTTTCAAAAATTTAAAACGAGTTGCTCGAGAATTAGGAGAAAATCTTACAGATGAAGAATTGCAAGAAATGATTGATGAAGCAGATAAAGATGGTGATGGAGAAGTTTCTCAAGAAGAATTTTTACGTATTATGAAGAAAACTAATTTGTATTAATATTTTATAATTTATTCTTAAATTATTTAAAAAATATTATTTCTATAAGTTGCTTATATGATTTATATAAGAATACTATAAATTATTATTTGTATTATTACATTATAAGTTTACATTAAATTTATATATATTCTATAATTTATTTATTTTAAATAGTAATATATAATATCAGATATAGTTAGTTAAAAAGATAATTAAAAAATAAATTTTTATATAATGCAATAATGTATATAATAATATATATATATATAATATATATTATTATATATATATATATACATATATAAATAATTATAAATAATTGATTTGTATCAAAAATGTAGAAATATTGAAAAAAATGTTTAATATTTTGTTAATAAACATAATAATATAATAATAAAATATTTTATTATATCTTAAAATTTTTTACAAGTTTCCATTTAAAACTTCTTGTTTCATTGTTGATATAGCAGAATCAATTAATGATCTTACCAATTCTGCCCTTTTTCTAGATTTAATTAAGCTTTTTAAAAATATATCTTGTGAAATTGGAATTCCACCTAAATAAGAAAATAAATTACATTATTAAATTTAATTAAACATAATAAAATTTCATTTAGCTCTATTTTATGAAATCAAAAATTATACACATAGGAAATTAAATATGTAATATTTTATGGATTAATTTGATTACCATAACATGATTTTATTTAATTGATTAATTTATCATTACATGATTAATTTATCTAATCAAGTGAAAAGTCAAAATGATAATGTTATTTATATATTTACTTATTATATTTTTATTAATATTTGATAATCAATGAACATGATAATGGATTACAAATCAAATTTAAATTATATAATTATAATTTATTATTATATAATGTAATTTATATAATGTACCAAAATAATTTAAGGAAAAATGAAAACAAAAATATTCCTTAAACATTATAAATTCAAATTAACTTTAACATCAAATAATTTAAAATATTATAATTTTTAATATGTATAATTTTTGATTCTACAAATTTTTGAAATTAAATTATTTATCAAATAGAATTAAAAATATAAAATATATATCATAAAATATAAAAATTATTAAAAATTTTGGGTGCAAAAAACTTTATTTTAAATATATAATTATATATACAAAATATATAATTACATATAATTTTAACATAAAATTATAAAAATATATAAAAATATACCTGGTTTATGTATGCAACAAATTTTTTCTTCATTCATTACAATCGTCAATTTTCCTAAGCATAAACTTTCTTCATCATCAGTGGGGTCAGCTATCAATAATTGACTAAAAGCATTAATTTAAGATAATATATTAGAATTTTGATTATCAATTATATTTTAATGTTAAGTTTCAAATTAAATACTTACTTATCAAATATTGCAAAAGTTATAGAAACTGGTAATGCCTTAATTGGAAATTTTATTCTTTTTGTAGAATTTATAGACACATGTCCAGTTTCTATATTATAAAATATTTCTGGTAAAGTTACTACAAAAAAATTAAATTATGTTATAAAATATAAAAAGTAAATAAAAAAATTTAAATTATTATTTAATTATTATTATTATTTTAAATTATTTGAAACTAACAAGTATTAAGTGTAGCTGTTAATGCTCCAATACAAGCATCGATTATTGAACCATCATAATTAATACATACAAGATCACAATATAAAACCCATACTAGTTTTCCTTTATAAACACAAAGTTCTTTTAAATCAATAGCTGCTGAATTTCTTAAAATATTTTCTATTAATTTTGTGATAACTTGTGCCTGATCACTTGGCGGACCTGGCCGAAATTTAGGAGAACATAATGGAGGAAGTTCAATATTTGGCACAATGTAACCACATTCTGGAGATTCTGCTTTAGGTACTGCTAATTCCTATGTTAAATTTATAATTATTCAATTAATAAAAATAATGAATTTCTATATTGAAAAAATAAGATTTTTAAGAAATTTTTATATAATTTTATACTTTTGATTTTATGCTTTTAATATTAATTTTTTAATAAAAACATAAACAAAATGATATTTACTTACACTTTTAATACCACATACAATTGTTGTATTACCAATTTTGAATATGGCTGAGCTATCAGCATGAGTAATTGATGATATATTTACACTTATAGGACGAAAAGATAAAAATTGTCTGCCATCTGGACGAACATCTTGTGCCTTTATATTTTCAATTATTATGTATAAATATACTTATATAAGTTTAATTTATGTTAATACTTATATATATATATATATATATACTTACCAAATGATCTTGCAAATATTTCACAGGATGGATAATTCTATAAATAATTTTTAATTAAATTTAATTATAAAATAAAGATATTAAAATTTAGTTTAAAATATTAAATTTATTTAAATTTTATTTAAGTAATATATACTACTCTATTTAAAAAATTTAAAACGATACGTAGTTATCTCTATATAAGAGAATATTATTTAAAAATAAATATAAAAAGGTTATGTGAAATTAAATAACAGATGTCAGAATACTAATTATCTTTTATAAGAAAATTTAGAATATTTTATATTTTATATCAGATTCATCATATGTAAAAATGTAAAAACATACTAAATTAATAAAAAAATATATAATACAATATAAAAGATAGATACTAACTTATACTGTGAATCCATAATAAAAATGTTAACTCTTAATATAATTAAAATTTATATTTTCATATTTTATATATTTTTATATTTTTAACCTTTAATTACTACTAATAGAAAAGAATAGAATGATTTTTTTAAAGATATAAATAATTTTTAAATTAAAAAAATAAGAATCATATATACAGTATATTAATATATTTATAGATCTTTGGAGAGTTGATTCTAAAGATCAAAATAAATACGAAAATGTCGGTTAAGACCTATTTATATAATATAATATTTATTTATAAAGTTTATTAAATTACACAATTTAAATTTTATTAGATGATGTGAGACAATGATAAAATAAAATAACAATTAAATGAAAATAATTATCTCATTTTATTTTTATTTAAAGCAAATTTCAATTGCTTATAATTTAATTAAGTAAATAAATCTTAAGCAACAATTTTATATACCAACTTTTGTATTTTTTTTTTATATCTGGAATCGAAAACTCAAAAATGTTACGAATTATTAACGAATATATATATCCATTATATTAATATAAAGAAAATATAAAGATTTGATAAAATATTATAACTTTTTCTTTTTAAATTTCATAACAAAAAGTACTTACCTTGAAATTTTTAATTTCTTTTATGTAATAGTGCAATTATATATCATTTATCATTTTAAATTCAAAAAAATTTACTAATCAATAAATTATTTTTTGATTAAATAAAATTAAATTTATTTTATTTTGCGATATAATATTTTATAAAGATTTCGTTTAATTTTATAATACAAGTAATTAAACTGAATTTTGATTTTATATTATATATATTTATATATTAAAATTTATTATATTATAATGTAATTTTTCTAAAATTAATGTTATTTACTTATAAACAGTAAAAAAGACAAATATTTCATTAAGAAAGGCACAATGTGGCATATATTCATAAAATATCATATCAACGAAAATTAGATAAAATAGAATCTAATAAGAATATATATCGAAATATTTCAGTATAACAAGACGATATAAGTATAAATGGTCAAAATTTCATTCAAGAATTCACTATGAATTCTTTTTACAAAATATAGAGTTAAAAAAATAGTAATCTTCTATCTTTGAATTTTTTTGTAAATATTAAAATAATATACTATTTAATTCTTAATGTCAATGATATCTTCAAAGTTATTCATATAAATTAGATATACATATTAAAATATTAAATTTCAAAATTTAATACAAAATTATTTGAATTCTTTATATACAGATATGTTTCTTAATTCTTTGCATAAATATAATTTAAAAATAGTTTTAACAATCTTTAAATTACTATTAGTTATAATATTATTGACAATTTGAAGTTATCAACTTTTAAAAATATAATTCTGAATATGTTCTTATTCATATTGCTGTTCAATATAAAATATAGTTAACTTCATCGGGCAAGCGTTGAATAAAATTTAGGCTACAACAAAAAAATTATATAACAAATTATTAAAAATTTGATAAATTTTAAATTGTTATCAATATTATACAAAATTGCTCACCTCATGATCATGATTTTCTTCTTTATTTCCATCATCATCATCACCAGAACTATCACCTCCTGAACTATCTGCTGAATTACGTTGTTGATCTTTATTATTTAAATTATCAACAGTAGATGGAGATGATGCTTTTACTTTACTGGCTGCATCATAACATTGTAGACAAACTCTAACTGCTTTTCCATTTCCTTGTCCTGGCAATAACAACTTTTTATTGCTGCAAGGTCCACATACAACAGCTCCACATTGCCTACAATGATGCTGAAAATATTATATAATTATAATAAATATTTAAAAAATATAATATTTAATGACTTAAAAATAAAATTAATATGTATATACCCGTCTATTTAAGACTGTAAATTGTGTCTTATTACAATGCATACAAATTGTAGCTTCATTATCTGGTACCCAAACAGCTGCATGAATTTCAACTGGTTTTTTACCACCTATTAAAGAAATTCAAATTATAAACAAATTATAAAAATACTATATTATAATATAATTATAAAAATAATTACTTTTTCTTAATAAATCTTCAATACATTTTGTAATATGAGCCATCCATTCTTGTTTCTCTGTTGCAGTAGCAGCATAAACAGCAAATGACTTTGTTACTGTTTTTATGAGCCAGCCATTGCGATATTCTATAAATAATGATAAACTACTAAATTATTTTTATTTATAATTATATCTGATTATATTTAATAAACAACAGCAAACAACATTTAATATTTAATAATATTATTAAATATTTAATAAGCAACATTGATTATATTTAATAAGCAACAGATCCATATTCCAAAAAATAGTTCTAAAATTATTATAAATGATAATTTATAACTAAAAAAGAAAACTTTATACAAAAGTAAAATACAAAATTTTACATAAATCATATTTGCATAATAATAAAATTAATTAATATTAATTATGTTTCTCTTATATATTCTAGATATAATATATAAATAATAGATATTCTTATATATATAAATAATACATAAATACATATTCTAATATATATGTGTGTATATATATATATAATGTATGTATATATAATAATATAAATTATATAAATAATTATACAAATAACATTAAAATTTAATTACAAATTGATTTTAAAATATAAATATGAAGTTTAATTTAATCAATAATGAAAATATAACTTACGACCATCATCAATCAAAGATTCAAGTTTGACTTCTTCAAGTGGTATAATATGTTGTTTGTTGTACTGTTAACATATATAAATCTTTTTATTATAATATAACATATATTAAACTAATACATATTAATCTTTAATATTATATTAAATTATATAAAAAATATTACATTATAAATTATATTAAATTAAATTAAAATTATATCTAACATAATAATTAATAATTCATATTCATAATAATACATCTATACCTTTTTTTTATTCATTACAATATTTCCATAAACCAATATATCATTAAATAAAAAGAATTGTCTTGGTTTAGGCTTTTTCCTACACATTTTTGTTAACACACCTTCTCCAACTAAGACTCTTCCAGGTACTGCAAGTGGCTGTAATATATAATAAATTCATAATAAATTAAAAGATTTTATTTTTATATTTTAAACCTTGTTATACCTAACATGTCAAATTAAATTATACATATCATATAATTAAATTTTTTGATAATATAAAGTTGAATATTAAAGAAAAGTTAAAAATTCTAATATTAATTTTACCTGGCCAGAACTGCCAAAGCAGTTTTCAACCATAGCAATACGTCTGGCATTAGCCTCGCTATTTACTGTAATACAATATAAAAAATAATAATCTTTGATTACTTTTTATAATATGCAACAAAAAATATAATTTATTAAAAATTAATTCATTTCTACTAAATTTTTTATATATTACGTATTTAACTAAAAATTATAAACTTCTGAGTTACACCGTTACTCGATACAATTTAAAAATCATAGATTAAGCAAATTATCAATTATCTAAATTAAGAATCAAAATATTTAGTATATATATTAAATTTATATATTAGAAATAAATTAAATTTGTCATAAGAAATATAATATTAAATGATAATTAAATGATAATAAATGAAATATAAACTAACCCAATCGGTCAACCATGGTCCTATGAATCAGGGCTGACAACAAGGAAGTATGAATCATGAATATGTTTAGTATTTGTCAATGTTAATACAGATTTATTTTATTTCTAATATTATAAAAACAATTAATATGTTTAAAAAAATCATATAAAGATATTTATGTTGTTTAATGATACAATAATAGAAATAATATTACATACATAATACTTAGATAAATATTAACTATTATAAAATACAGAAAATAACAAAATTATATTGATTTTAAATTTATTTCAATTTCAAATTGTCAATTTTTCCTAAACAATTAGTAGCATAATGAAATATAATTTTATCTTAATCAATATGTACCACAAATTTTCAAATACCGGATATAATCTTTCGAGATATCGATATCTACTATTTCTCATCAATAAGAATCATATGATTATTAAGGGTGTAGCAAATTACAAGTCTTGATAGATTTATTTTTAGGTTACTTTATATAAACGATAATAAAAGATAACTTTGCAAAAAATGAAGATATGTGGACCTAAGTATGCCCTATGTGGCCTGATATTATCTGTTTGGGGTATATTTCAACTGGTAAGTTAAATATTGTTTTAATATAAAATTATATTTAGAAGAACTGTAAAATTGAAAATGTAAAAAATTGCACTAAGATTTTTATATATTTAAATTTCATTTTTTCTTAATTGTAATTTTATTTAAAAAAGAATTGATTATATTCTGATAAATTTAGTGAAATTATTTTAATTATATTTTTATTTATAAACAAATAAATAAGTTTGTAAAACTTTCACACTTTAATTAAATCAATTCTATGTTAAATATAAATGATTTTTTATATTAAATATAAAAAATTGATATTTTCATTTTTATAAAAATTTATAAAAAAATATTATATTTGTTTTTCAGCTCCTGATGGGAATATTCTTTTATACTAAAAGTGTAGCTTTAATAGAAGATGTTCCATTTGAAGCAAATATCAAAGAAACTACAGCATTTTATGCTGCTGCAGATAGAGGTTACAAACAAAATGCATATAATTGTTGGATTGCAGCTTGTATCTATCTTCTTACATTATTACTTTCTGGACATCAATTTTATATAAATTCAAGATCATCTTTAAGTGTTTAAATCATATGATAAAATAAATAAAAAAAAATATGTATAAGTGTATAATATAATGTATTATAAATAAAATTATACTTAGGAATATGTTAAATATAAATTTCAAGAATAGATTTTTTGAATTGCATTATAATTTTAAGTTAAATAGAAAATTAATCAATTGTTATTTAAAGTGTATTTATTATATTAAAAAACATGTTAAACATAAATATATGAAAATATATTAATTATTATTATTGAACTTATTTTTTAATATATATTTCATTTTTTTCTCTTTTTTATATAGTATTATTAACAATTTAACAATATAAATTAATTATTAACAATATAAAAGTTTCAAACTTTATTGTACAATAATTTTTTATTGGTATAATAAAACTTCACGTTTATGTGATATAATAATTTTTGAAAATCTGTATTAGTTTTGATTTATATGAACTAATATATTGGTTAGTTAATTCGGTAATGATATAATATATATTATTTTCGGATACTTAAATTTATATTATAATCAAATTTAATAACATTAAAATAAAAAACTTAGATTTTAATCTGTCATATACATAATTTTAAAATATATTATTATATTGTTACTTAAAAAGAAGTAAAAATCATACAACGTACGTATATAAAATCAGTATGTCCAATAAATTATAGACAATAATAGGTTATGTATCTATATAATAGATATTTTTTGATCAGTAATTACTATATAAAAAATTTAAATTAATTATTAAATATATATATTTAAATTGGTTCGTTTATTGTTAAATACTTTATAATTTATAACTTTTATAATTATAAAAATAAACAATAATAAAACTAAAATATTTTCCATCATAATAAAAACATACTCTCTATTATTTTATATATAATGTTTTAATAAATTTTAAATACTATATATACATATAATAATTTATATTATAATAGTAATTTTATATATATATATATATTATTAACTATGTAATTATTATTGTATGAAATATTAAAATGTATTTTTTAAAATATATATAATTATATTTTTTATTACAGAATATTATATTATATTAATTATAATGGAAAATGAACAAATTGTAACTGAAGATTATAGTGAAATAATACAATATCTTCCTTTTTCTTTAAAGTTGTTATATGGAACAGGACATGTATTAAATGATATTTGTGCTTCTATGTGGTTTACATATTTATTAGTTTTTTTTCATTTGGTATTGGGATTTAATTCAATATTAGCTGGAGTAATCTTATTTATTGGTCAAATAGCAGATGCTTTAGCTACTTCTTTTGTTGGTTTTTATTCTGATAAAAATAATAACTTTTGGTTATGTAAATATGGAAAAAGAAAAACATGGCATTTAATAGGTATATTTTATTAAATAAAAATATATATATTATGTATATTTATTATATATAATTTAATATATAATTTTTAGGTACTCTATGTATATTGTTTGCATTTCCCTTTATATTTTCTCGATGTATTGGATGTGAAACAGCTCATGAATGGGCTCAATTAATTTATTATGCAGCATTTGTTATAATTTTTCAATTTGGTTGGGCTGCAGTACAAATATCTCATTTATCACTAGTTCCAGAACTTACATACATTGAATATGAAAGAACAGAACTCATTGCAATTAGGTATCTTTTAATTATTAAAAAAATTGTTTAAATTACACAAATTATAATTCTGAATATTTTATTTAGATATAGTTTCACAGTTCTTTCAAATGTTTTTGTTTATTGTATTACATGGATAATATTACATATAACAAATACTAAAGATTCTAATTCTCAAATTGGTCCTGATGATACAACAAAATTTCAAGAAGTTATATTTATTGGAATTGGAACAGGAACTATAACTTCCTTTTTATTTCATATCTTTGTTAAAGAGAATCTTAATAATTCTAATGGTAAAAATAATTTTATATTTATATATTATATATTTATTTAAAATCTTATTTAATCTATTTTACTATATTTATTTTAGGTTTAGTAAATAGAAGTTCAAGAACAATATCATTAATATTAAAAGATGTTCAATTATATCAAGTAGCTTGTATATATATGTCTACCCGTTTGTTTATAAACTTATCACAAATTTATGTACCTTTGTATTTACATATATCATTAAACATGCCAGCTACATCTTTAGCTATAATTCCTTTAATAATGTATTTAAGTAGTTTTGTAACATCTTTAATTATAGAAAAATTGAATACAAAACTAGGTAGAAAGATTTCATATTGTTTTGGTGTTATATTAGGTGTATGTGCTTGTATTTGGATACAATTTGGTAATGATTTAACATACATAAGATATCAAATCTATCTAGTATTTTTAATATTAGGTATAATTATATAATTTTTTAAAATTCATCAAATTGAATTTAAGAGAATAAATAATTTCTTTTGTTGTAGGATCTGCTGGTTCTGTTATGTTAGTGACTAGTCTGGGTATTACTGCAGATTTTATAGGTCAAAATGTAGATAATGGTGCATTTGTATATGGTATTATGAGTTTTACAGATAAACTTTGTAATGGTTTAGCAGTTATGCTTATTCAATATTTGTTAGTATAAAATTAATAAGATTTAAATTATTATTTAAGAAAGAAATAAAACAAACCTAATATTTTTTTTATTTTCTTAGAAATTGTTGGGTTGATTGTAAAAATTACTACAAAGATGTTTTAGTTTATGTTTGTGGTACTTCTGCAATATTTGGTATGTTCATGATATTATGCATAAAATCACTTCATCATAGTACAGGTAAATATTTATTATAAAATATTCATGAAATTAATTATAATAACATTACAATACAAATATAAATTGTTGCAGCATATAATACATTACATTCTGAACAAACTACAGAACATAATATATTTGTTACACCAGCAACAATTGAGAATGAATCTGATAACTTATTACAACAAGAAAATATTACATAGTATAAAAAATAAGAATGCAATCTCATAATAATGAATATTTAAAATAAGGAAAATTTGTTTTTTTATGTTAATAATAATTTAACAATAATAAAATAGTAATATATCATAAATATGATATTATATATTATTATATATTTTAAAAAGAAATTATATATTATATGTATTTATTATATATATTTTTTTATTTAATTTGATAGATATATATTTATTATAGAATTAAGTCATAAAATATTTAAATTGCATTAATTTGGTAAAAAGCATTCAATTATAATTGATTTAAAAGTAAAAAAGATATTAAAATATAAAGAAACTATATGTTATAGTATATATATTTTATAAAACACATATAGTATATATATATTTTATCGGCATAAAAATTATATGTATAATTATAATAATTTCAAAAAATGAAATTATTTTTTATTAAATAAAATTAAATTTAAAATAATATACCGATATATCTAAAAATAAAATAAAAAAATCTTTATCTAACAAAAATGATAATACTTTCTTTATGTATTTATGTAATAAATCTAAAATATCTTTTTCATTATTATATTGAATTAAATATATAATAAGTTAATAAAAGCAAAATGCTAATAAAAATTAAATTAACACTAATATATTTTTTAAACAAATATTATACCTATATCTATATTTAAATGAAACCAAATTTTAACTCTTTTTATTATAATATATTATTTTAATATTTCTTTTATATTTTACTAATATAAATTTATATTTTTAATTTTCTTTTCTTTTTCTTTTCTTTTTAAGAAATTCTTCCAAATTTTTTCGACATTTTTTTTTACTTTGAATATTTGCATATAGATTCATTTTTAATATTCTAACAAGTATTTCTAAAAAAATAAAATTAAAACATCTTTTTTTTTATAAACTCTTCATAAAATACATTTTATCTATAATTAGATGAATAGAAAAATTTAGTTTAATGACGCCATTTCATAGATACGCTCGAAGCTCTGTGTTTGTAATAATACAAAATGAGTAAACAGGTATGGAGAATAATATTATGCAAAAAAATAGAAAATAGTAAATTCTGCTAATAAAAATTACAACATTTATATTTTAATTGTACAAATAATCTATTAAAATATCTTATTAAAAAAATATTGAAATATATTGAAAATTGAATATATTATTGTGAAATATAAAAATATTTGAAATGTCTTTATCAGTAGGTAAGTTAACATGTGAATGAAAATATAACCTTTATAACTTGCTATTATAAATAAATATGTATTTTTACTTAATAGAATTATTAAAACGTTTAAACACGAATGAAGAACCTTTACCCAAACGTTTAAAATTAGCAGAAAATGCGTTTTGTGCTATTGACATACCAATAATACATAAAAATGACCATATTCTACAGTGGCTTTGTAGTATACATCCTATGGACCAAAAAATTTGGAATTCATTAAAAAATTGTTTGAAAATTAAATATTTGAATATTAAAACAAATATAATAAAAATGTTAATAAAAATAGTAATTGAAACATTTCAGAAAGATATAAAATATATATATAAAGATATTTTTGAATGCTGTAGTTTATTAACTTCTAATAATGGGATCCAACAGTATTTTATTAGTAAACCAGAAGATTTAGGATTTCTAATAAAGTCCTTGTTAGAATGTGTAAATAATATTTTTAAACATGCTTTAAACATTAAAGAACCCTCAATAGATGGAATAAAAATTCATTAATTAATAAAAGTAATGAATTAGTATTAATAGCATATAATACAATAATTAATGTTATAGAAGATTTAATACAAATTTATAAATCTGCTTTTATTAAGAAAGATATTTTGAAAGTTATATTTATAAATGATATTTTATATCCTTTATGTGTTATAATTGATCATACCTGTACTGATAATAGTAATAGATTGGGTGCAATAACACATAAATGTATTCAGCAATTAGTATTTGAAAAAAAATATATTCAAAGTGGAGAATTTCTAATAGATGAAAATATAATAAAAAATATATCTATTTTGATACAAACTGCAAAAATAAAAGATTTACAGAGTAATTTAATGATATTTAATTTTTTCTTTCGTGTTGCAATTAGTACTTTCAAATCAAATACTATTATATTAGATATAATATTAAGAAAATTAATTGAATGTTCTGGAATATATAGAAAAAAAATATTAAGTACTCTTTTAAAATGCTTAAATGATGTAACATTTAATTTTAATAATAAAATAAATGATGTCACATTGTTTAATTATTGTCAAAATATAATTGATGATATTTTAGAAAGTAAAAGTATGAATAACACGGATTATGATCTCTTGATGCAATTTTGTTATTTTAATCCTCTTTTAATTGAGAAGAGAATTCAAAATATACTTAGAAAAATATTTGTAGAAAAATCAAGATTAAAATATAAAAATTTAATGATTTCTATTTTGGATGCTTCTATACATCTAAAACAGGAAGAAAAATTAATTTCAGCAATATTAATAGTTTTAAAAGATAGTTCAAATCATATATCAATTATGGAAAATGACATGTTTTTTCCAAATGAATTCAAACAAAATTTAATAAAAGCAATAAATAATATAACAAATTCACAAAGTATAAATATATTAAAAACACTGACATACCATTTAAGGACAGATTTCTTGCAAATGCTTCAATCTAATAACATTGGTAAGAATGATAATTATAAATAATAATGGAATTATTATTGATTTTTATATATTTTAATATTTTATTATAGGTGAAAATATTTTATTATTTCGAGCAATAGTTGAATTATTTATTACATTTAAAGATGGTATATGTATTTTTGAATATAATGGAACATTTATTTCATACCAAAAATTTTTAACTGCTTTCAATGATTTAAAAAATGTGCTATTATTTTTGGTGATTGAAATATTGCGATTAAATTATGATGAAAAAGTTATAATATTATTATCTGCAATATATTCATGGAATGAAACACAAAGAATGTTAAATTATTATATACCAAATATTATTTCAGAAAATTTAGTATCATCAATATCAGAACATCAGTGGCAACAATTGATAAAAAAAGTTGAAGAATTTGGAAATGAGAAATGTAAGAATAATATGGTATGCTATTAAAATTTTTTAATTTTTTATGAAAATTTATTTTTCTTTTTTCATTTTATATTAAAATCATATAAAAATTATATTTACATATATTTTGATTTCAGAATAAGCTTATTTTACAACGAATTAAAATGTCTCAAAATACATTAAATAAATCTTCTATGATGCTTAATGATTTAATAGGTGGTTTAGAATATTGTTGGCACTTTATATTAAAATTTGATACAGAAATAATATCATTTTTAAATAATGAACAAATGTTAAAAGTGATACATTTATTATTAGCAAATATGACTTCTAATGTGGATAATTTTAATAAATGGGTAAAGATATTACATAAAAGTGATTTACAAGAAAATAAAAGATTGATAATATTTATATTAACTTCTGTTTTTACACAAATTGGATATTTAATAACAGAAAGTACCACAAAATCTATTAGTAAATGTTTTAATGCAGTATGTATAAATATTTTATCAATATTTAAATATATATTATATAAAATTATTAAAATATATATAAAATTAAATAATGCTTGTTTACCTATTCAGGAATGTCTACTTGAAGCTGAAATTATTGAATGTGAAAGAACAAATAATATATTAATATCCATAAAGAAGGAATTGCTAATAAATAAATGGGTACAAATACAAAATATATTTTTATGTAAAATTCAAGTATATTTAGAAGTATTACTTCATTTACCAATGATGTTTTTGAGTACTAATTTAAAATTGATCATATTTATGTTCTTATTTACTCTTCGAATGGAATGTAATGAAAATAATGAAATAATTCTTTTGTGCAATACTATGTTTTCAGGTATCTTTTATGTTTGTATGCAGAATATTAATATATTCGTGAAACATCTTTGGAAAATTTATTTTAGAGATCAAAACAAATATAAAATCTAAATATATGAAAATATTAATTAAAGTTTATTTTTATTTATATAATTATTTATAATTTAATATATTAATTTATAATAATTATAAATAATTAATGTATAATAATAATAATAATTTGCGTTATGAAATGAGCTATCATCTAAAGCTATTTCTATTTCTATTATATTACTATTTTGTTATATCTTCATCTTGCTTTTACAAAATTTAATTTCTTATAATTTAATAAATGAATTTCAATGGACCAATATTTTTATTATTTTGATCTCTAGAATCAAAAGTATTTCATGGATATATTTACATCTTGTATATTATATATATATAATATTTAATCAAAGATTATTAATATATAAAATTTTTTTCATTTTTAGACCTCTTGGAAAGATCTAGCATTGATATATTTCAATATATAGAACCTTCTTTATTATTACCATTTCTGTCACAAAATAGAATATTTAAAAAGCCATTGGAATTATTTCTTAAGAATTGTTCATATAAAAATTTGAAAAAATATATAAAATCTTCAATTAATTCTAATAAAAATATGTTTTTTTTATTAGAATCTATGGAAAATATTAAGCCAAAATTAAATATTAATCAAAAAATAATAATTAAAAAGGCAGAACAGAAATTAATTAAAATTATGATAAAAACTATATATTTTGAAACAAAAAATTTGGATCATATGAAAACATTATGTCTGATATTAAAAATTAATATTAAAAATGATAATATTGATGAAAAATTAAAAAATATAGCAGAATCAATGATTCAAGATATATTTGTGGTAAATATAATTTAATTAATAAAATTTTATATTATAAATTACACAATAACGGAGTTTTTAATTACAGAATGATAAAAATAACAAAATTTCAAGTGAATTATTGCAAAATGGCTTACAACTTATGATTATTATATTACGTAATAAAAAGATATTTCAAATTACAAATCAGATTATAAGAATAATATGGTATACTTTATTTAAATATCCATTTGCAGATGTGCTTTTACCATTGTTAGAATTAAGTGAACCAAAAGAATTTTCTGAATTTATTGAAGAATTACATAATCAATTGGTATGTTTAATATATATTAAATTAATAAAAAAATTTATGCCATAAAAAATTGTATCTATATAATTTATATAAATTATTATGTATTATATAATTATTTAATAATGTAATTTCATTGCTAACAAAATATTTAATTTGTTGAATTTATTAATAATTTATTAATAATTAATTTAATTTATTACAGGTAGAAACTCTTTTGAATACACAAGAAAAAAATTTGGAAAATATTTGTATTATATGGAACACTATCTTAAAAATAGATATGTCTAATGATCGCAATAAATTACGCTTAATAGCTATAAATAATTTAATTCAAACAATACAAACTACAAATATACCAGAAAAATTTTTGCCAAGTTTATTGAAATTAATTCAAAATATTCTTGTTGCTAAACATTTGTATCTTCCTGGATATGTTATTGATATGAGTATAATCTTTAGTTTAAAATCATTAGAAGAAAATACAATATTAATCTGTAATGATACATTAGCATTATGCAATGTATTGTTAAAAGTAAGAATAAATTTAATTAGAGATAGAATACCTTTATTATTGATATTATATAGACAAATATTAAATATTTTTACATATAAATCCAAAGATATTATTAATAAATCTGATGAACATATATTCAAATGTCTTGCATTAGATATTGAAAAGTAAGTAAAATATTTTTTACTTAATATTTATATATTTTTTTTAAATTATTATATTTTGTATACAGATTTACAAATTCCTTAACAAAATTAAAGAAAGATATGATTCGAATAAGTCCCTACCTAATAGCAGATTTATTGAAATTATTTTCAGAAAATTCAATAGCAAGTTTTGTTAAGGTAAATATTTTCAAAGTACATTTTATTTAGAAACAATATTAATTTACATTTGCCTATATAAGCATTCAAATTTTTTATTTTATTTTTGATATATTATCAATGTATATTCTTTATACTTGATTATTAATTATTAGTATCAATATATATTTATTTTTTTTCATCCATTTGATTTTTTAATATATATATTTAAAACTTTGTATATCAAATAATTAATATGACATTTATATAAAAATTTTGAATTATAAATGCTTAAATAGGCATTAAAAAATATTTTTTTCTGGAATAAATATATAATAATTAAATAAACATCATAATTAATATATATTATTTCAATATTTCATTTTAGATTTCTTTACAAAATTGTATATATCAGTTAATTAGTATATGTGATCAACATGGAATTGCACTATTATCTCGAACATTATCTATTTCAATGCAAGAAATTTTTAAAACTCAATTAGATGCATATAATAAATTTTATAAATTCATTGGTAAAATTTAATAATTAATAATTTTATAAATTTTAGTAATTTTCTGTAACAATTTTTATAAATATTTATAATTATATAATTGTGTAATTTAATTATAATAAATAATAAAAATTTTTAATATTAATAAAAATATAGTTTTTCTATAATTTTTTCTCTGGAAAAAGTATTCTTTTAAAAAATATTATTGAATGAAGTTTTTAATGTTGTTTAATTATGTTAATATTATTTAGTAAACTTTTATCTTACATAATTTCTTACATATTTATATATATTATTATTATATATTCATATATAAAAAAAATATAAAATTTTTTAAAATTAAATTATGCAATTGATAAATCCTTATACTTATTTTATAGTGTCTTGTTAAAAAAAATTCTATTAAAAAAAAGTTAAATGCATAACATAAAAATGATTTATTAATTTATATATTTTTATAATTTATTTTAAATGTTTTCATGTGATTTAATGTCATATTATGTCAATGATATCAAGTTTTTTAGATATCCATTGGAACTTTTTGATTCTCTTTTATAAGTCCTAAATCATATTTAGATGTAAATGCAAACGCAAAGTACGTGAAAACGCATTTTTAAGGCCAGATATAAACATTTCGAACATATAATATAATAGCTTTATGATACTCAAATTGTGATTTTGAAATATACAATGTATAAATATTACAACAATATAAAATATAGAAATTATGATTATCATACATTTTTATAGACAATTACAACTCAAAATGCATATAATATATAATATTACTATATTATTCTATATGTTCTATGTATATATATATATATCTATGCTATATATAACTTGTGTATTTTAAATCAATTCTAACATCGAATAATTAATGGATATCGCATATTTGAAATACGAATGTACGAGATTTTATAATACAAATTTAGTAGTTATATTTATAATTTTAACGAAGTAAAATTAGTATTTTATATTTGTATTGTCATTAAAAATAATTAAAATTGTGAATTTTATATGAACTAAAATTTTCTATTCACATAAAATATTATTATAAGAATTATTATTATATTATAATGGCATTTTCTCGTATACCTCGCCGTGAAGGTTATATAGTTGCAATACTTGGTGCTATCACTGGTTATTATATTTGGAATCAACCATTAAAACAATTTGCTGAAAAAAATTTCTCTAATACAGATTTAAATAAAGTAAGTTTTTTATATTATGAAAAAATAAATGAAATAACATTAAAAATAATAATTAAGCTATATTTTTTTTGTTTTATGTAATGATATATTTAAGATTTAATTTAGATTTATATTTTATATTTCTATTTTATCAAAATAAATTAATAAAATATCACTTATCATTAACAAGTTTTAAGTTTAATTTTTTTTTTGTGTTAAAATAATGAATTTTTTTTCTTTTAATAATATTTAACAGAAGAAAAATATCAATTTTAACTTTAAAAATTTCTAGTTTCTCAAAAATTATTTTTTAAGATCTTTAAAAATATTTATTATTGACATATTATTTATAATATATATTATTGCATTCTAACAAGACTATAAAATATCTTAATAACCTATTATTTTAGTTTTCTATATTTATTCTAAATGAAATATTAATTATTAATCAAATTTATATTTATTGAAATATAAATTTTGTTTATCTTTGACTTACATATACTTAAGAATTATTTTAATTTTCTTAATTCTATTTTATTCTTAATTTAAAGGATAAATTAATATTGAATTATATTTAAATATTCATAAATTTTAACAAAAAATTTCTTAATATTAAAACTTATAATTTTGAAATCTATTCATTTATCAAATATTCACATCTAAATTATTAAATTTTAAGAATTAATAAAAATTCATCAAATATTATTGAAAAATATAAAAAAAAAAATATTTCATTATTACTATAATAATTAAAACTATTTTTTATTTTAAAGGATATGTATCATGATCAAAAATAAATTTTTTATACATCCTATGATCAAAATAAATTTTATGATAACTGGTGTTCTAGGTTGCACTGCTATTTATAAGTAAGTATAATTATGTTATTTTTATTTATTTTATTGTTAACTAATGATAAAAACATACATAATAATTAACATTATTTTATATATTTAGATTTTATTTCAAACAACATGTTAGTCTTTTTGCAAAAAAGCAAGCTGAAGAAGAAGCAAATATATTATATGAAAAACTTAAAGAAAAAGAAGCAAAACTATCAAAAATATAATATAATTAAGTATAATTAAGTATATTATAAAAAGTTTGTAGATAATATTTAATGTATGTATTTAATAAATAATACATTCAATAATTATATATTATACTTTTTTATTATTATTATCATTATTATTACTATTATTATTATTTATATGTTCGCTTTAATTTCTATGATCATTTGCCAATATATTTATTAAGAAATATATTGAAATAATATTAATCCTTGAATTTGCCTCCATAAAAGGGTATATATCTAGCTACTACTTTCCAATCTGTGAGATAAACCACTGTCAAACCAGCAGCTCCTGTATAAACCATTAAAGATGGAATCCTAATTCATAAAAAAATCATATTTATTATGACTTACAAATTTATAAAAACAAATTTAATACAATAAAATTAACAAATATATATAATTGATATATATAACAAATATATAAATTACATTATATAATTAACTACTAAATTTAACCTAACAAATCATAGATATTTAAAATTTTAGAAATAAATTTTAATTGATATATTGATATATTAAATAAAATAAAATTATTGAAAATAAATTAAATATTACCATTTTGTAGCGATTTCGAAGTGTCTTTTTCCTATTTTCATTTTGTAATATCTTAATAATCAATGTTATACTTGAGACTGCAAATGATTATTATATATAATACACGAAAGGTTTATAATTGTTCAAAAAAATAAGTACTTACTATTTTAATAATTTTTTGCGAATATAATAACGTAAAATTAGTGTCTTCCTCTTATTATACAATATATAATGTTTAAATTATGATTTATGATATAATAGTGATATAATAGAAAAAAGATTATGGCAATGTTTTCATTGAAAGATGTTAACTTCAGTATTTTTTGAATCTATTGGCAACACTGATCTTACAAAAGATCAAAATTATATATCAACAAACTTTTATCATAGCCTATTTTATATATATATAATAAGAATAATACCAACAATGTTTCTCAATATAGATTCTTTTTTCATAAATTGAAAATGTTTAAATTTTTATTTTATTTTATTTTTCACAGCTATTTTTTCACAACTATATAATTATATAGTTATTAATATAACATTATTACAATTAGTAAAAAACTGTATATGAAATAAAAATAACAATATTATTATATAGTAATATCATTACTTTTTTTACATCTTTTATAATAATTGTAATAATTATAATATTTATGCATTAAAATATAAATATTAAAATAATTATGTATATTTAATTAATTTTTTTAGAAAAATAATTTAATTATATTATATTTATGCATTTATTATTGTATGATTAAATAATGTAATTATTAATAATGTAATAATTTAGTATTGTATAAAAGTAAAAACAGTGTTACCAATTTTGAAAATTAGAAAATGTATCTAGAAAAGATTGTGATATCTAAAATGTTAATTTCTATGAATCACTTATTATTCAAACACGGGATGATAATCAGATGTTAACAGTATCAGGGAGTTCCCTGATTTCTATGAGTTTTTATGATTTTAGTGAAGTCACTTCTTGAATTTTTAAAAACAAAAATAAAGTGTGAAAAAAGTTATTAGTAAAATAAAAATTATATATATATGTATATTTCAATGACATGAAATTATATTTTTTATAATAATTAAATATTATTAATTTTATTTGTTAAAATTGTTATTTTGGTAAATATTAATCATTTTAAACATATTACAATTTTTATATATTATATATATTTTTTTACATAAATTTATATGTATAAATATTTCTTTTTATTCCTTAGATTATGGAGAATAATGTGAATGAATTTATACCAAGAACTTATCAAATTGAATTGTTTGAAATTGCATGTAAACAAAATGTTATTATTTATTTACCAACAGGAGCAGGAAAAACATTTATTGCTGTAATGCTTATAAAAGAATTAAGTGCAGATATAAGGAAGTATGTTCATGAATAATATGTTAAATATGATGTAACAAATAAATAATTATATTTTAATATTAATTATTAAAATTCTGTATTTTATATTTAGATCTTATGACGAAGGTGGTAAACATACTGTATTTATAGTGAATACAGTACCTTTAGTCATGCAACAAAGTGAATATATTACAAGATTAACTGGTTTGTCTTGTGCAGCACTTAGTGGAGATATAGGAATTGATGTTTGGACAAATACAGAATGGAATGCACAATTAAAAGAGCATAAGGTATTAAAAGTTGATTGTATTGGTATATAATGATCAAAAAAATTATTTATATGTATAAATATATTATTTTTCAATCAAGCTTCAATCAATTTTTTTATCTAATTCTACATTTTACAACTTTTATATAATGTCAAATTTTTATAGTTATATGAAAGTACTATTATACATATAATTTATATAAAATTATATAAAAAATTTGATTTGATATTTATAATACTTATAAAAAGAATAAAAAATGAATAATAAACATAAATCCTAAAATATTCCTTTTCTTATAGAATCAACATTTATTATTTAATAGAATTCAAAATTTTATAAGAAAAGAATTGTTTTAAATTTATTAGATATTTTTTTATTTCTCTGCGAATACAATATAAGTATCAGATCTTTTTTTTATCATCTCATATACTTGGATCTTATTAATTAAAGAATGTAAATGATGTAATAAATATAATAATGTACAAATATTGCTTATACTATATTTTATATTATTATAAAGATTACTAATAATTTTTATATATAAATTAATAAAATTACATAAATTGTCTATTTGATAAACTTTTTAAAAACATTATATTATAGGTCTTAGTAATGACATCACAAATTTTAATAGATGCACTCTGCCATGGATATATATTTCTGAATAGAATAAATTTAATTATTTTTGATGAATGTCATAGAGCAGTAAATGATCATCCTATGAGACAAATAATGCAATATTTTGAAAATTATTCTAAGGAGGATCAACCAAAAGTACTAGGACTTTCAGCAACATTATTAAATTCTAATGTAAAATTAGAAAAAATACATTCAGTTATTGAGGTAAATTTTATTTGTATAATTATTTGTAAATTTTATTTACAAATAAATACATAATTTCTCACTTATACAGGATATATATTTAGAATCTTTAGATATAATTATTTATATCTATTTTTATATCTAAATATATTACATAAGATGTTAATATATATACATGGAATATCTCTAAAGGATTGATTCTAGAAATCAAAATAAACATAAATTATTCATATTTTTGATTTTTTCATATTATTCTTATCTTCTTATTAACTAATAATTAATTAATACTATTAGTTATATTATATTATTATATTATATTATAATAATATAACAATACAATCATGATAAAATAAATTACCACTTTGAAATCTTAAAAGTATCATTTAGAAAAATTTTATGATATAACAAAATAAAATATTCTTCTTAAAAAACAAAATAAATTCTATTTGAAATATTCCTATGCTGTATAATTTGAGAGATAATTGTATCAAATAAAATATTTATATATATATTTTAATTAAGTAATAATTATCAATAATAATTAATTAAATTTAAATTTTATTTTATATCTAGTCTTTGGAAATTACATTTCATGCAAAAGTAGTTACAGCAATAACATCTTTTTATACAAATCCAAATGAAAAAATTATTGAATTTGATCAGTATATAATAGATAATGTTGGGAAGCAAATAAATAATATTATTCAGGAAACAGTGAGAATTTTAAATTGTGTAATTTTAAGAGATAATTTCAAATATAATGAATCAAGTGTAATTTTTAGACCAAAATCTATAATAAAAAATTGTTATCCATATTAAATAATATCAAAGAACAATTTTCAAATACAGGTATGTATATATTATATATATATATATAATTTTAACAAAAATTGATTCAAATAATATATAATTTAAAATAAATATTAAAATATTTATTCATTTATTAAAATAAATGAACAAAATAATGTACTATTATTATAGACTATAATTACTATTAATTTTATTAATAATTCATTATATACTTATAATAAATATTAATTTAAAAATAATTTATAGTAGATAAAAATTTAAAAAAATATTTAATATAAAATAAACATAATTACTATTTCATTACTATTTTTATTAGAAATATTGATATACTATAATATAATAAATTATTAATAATTATAAAACAAATGACAATGGTTCCAATTATGTGTTTTATTTTATATAAAAATATATATAAAATAATTTATAGAAATAATTGAAAATAAATGTATATATCTTATAATTTACTAAATTTTATTTTTAATATAGGAATTTATGGTGCAAGTAAATGTTTATTACTCCATTTAATTCAATTAGAATGTTTAAAAAAGAATATAGAAGATGTGGTATGTAATTACTGAACAGGACAATTTTTTTATTTTTTATTAATATTATATAATATAATATATTATATTTAGGAAACTATAATTGTTATGGAATATATTATAACAGAAATTACTAAATGTAGAAAATTATTAGAAAATAAAATGAAAAATAATACAGAAATAGAAAAAATTTACAAGTAAGTTAATTTTATTAATTTTTTTATATTATAAATATTATAAATTATTAATGTTTATGAATAATATACTATATAAATGTACTATATAATGTAATATATAATTATGTGCAATTATATAATTAGTACATAAATTAATTTTTTAAAAAAATATAATTTGTAATTTCAGTTATTCATCTGATCAAGTACGAACACTTTTTTAAAATATTAAAAGATCATTATAATAATAAAACTAAAGATCAAGAATTTTGTTGTATTATTTTTGTAAAACGACGATTTACTGCAAAATTATTATATCAAATATTAAAAGTAATCAATAATTCTTTAATTTTTATATATTTATATAAATATATTATAATATATATATATATAAAAAAGAATATATATATATTAAATCATTCTTTTTTCATTATTTTATAATTTATATTATTTTAGAATATATCTAAAAATAATGAAGAATATAGATTTTTACATCCAGAATTTCTTATTGGTTTTTCAAATGATCCTTATAGAAATTGTAAAGAATCATTATGCATATCAAAATGGAATAAGGAAGCTTTACATAGGTATATTTTATAAAAAATTATTTTTTTAATATAATGCAAATTTTAAGTATAAATATAATATATTAAATATAAATATATTATTTAAAAATTATTGAAATATACAATTTGTTAAAATTTGTTTCAGATTCAAAAATGGTTTGTCAAATTGTATTGTTGCAACAGATATTTTAGATGAAGGTGTAAATATACCAAAATGTTCATTAATTATAAGATATGATTTGCCAATGGATGTAAGAACATATATTCAAAGTAAAGGAAGAGCACGTCATGTACATAGTCAATATATATTATTACTAGACAAAGGAAATCTACGGTTTATAAGCCGATATAATGAATTTAAAAGAATAGAACAATACTTACAAGAGGTATTATATAATTATTTTTATTAAACATTAAAAATTTATAAAATAATTAAAATTTATTTATTATTAAAATTATTTATAAAAATAATTAAAATTATTGTATTTACTAATTTTTTATTTTTTAATTAGCTTTTGCTTAATAAAACTAATGAACGTAATGTTCCAACTGAAAATAAAATACAAAATGAATTATATCAACATAAAATACAGCCATACGTTGTCATTAGTAATGAAGGACAAAAATGTTGTATAACTGAGCAAACGGCAATTCATTTAATAAATAAATATTGCATGTCCTTAATGAAATCAAAATTTGCATGTTTATCGCCTATTTGGATTTTATATAAAATTTTAAATAATACAATAAATGATCGCATACAATATATGGTATTATATATATAAATTATAATCTTTTAAATTATTTTTCTGGTTATTCGTTTTTTTAT